GCCCCCCAGAAGGACTGGGTCCCAGACCTGAACGCTGTCAGGAGGGAGGTGGAACGCCCTCCCTATTTCTGCCGCCTGTCTCCATGTCGCTTCATGAAGCCGGGTAACTTTTCGCCCCTGAACGTGTGAGCAGCGAGGCCACGGAAAAGCTTCGTTCCAATCAGCTCAGTTCCAGGAACACTACTCGCTGGCTGGCTGCCTCTGAATCTCATTTCCAAGCACACGGGCACAATTCTGCCTGCTCAACTCAGGCCAGTTCCGCCTCTGAGCCACTCTTCCATTGCTGGGATTTTAGAGGGAGCAAGGTGCCCCTCCGAGACGGGTGGGATAGGAGCTAGGCAGGCAGGCTCTCGCAGACACTCCCTGTGGCTCCCCACACCGTGTTTTAATTCCTCAGACCTTGACTTTCAGGTTCTCTAAAATATACGTCTGTCCCTGTGCCATGTGCACTGATGCCCTTACTCCCGTAACTGCCCAAATAATAATAACTGTGTCCTCCGTTTTCCCAGCCCCCACCTCGCAAGGCTTTCATGCCACCCTGGCATAGAACATCGCTCTTCCAGGAATCCCCGCCTTCCAGTCTTCTGCTTCTGGACTAAGAAGCAGAGAGGAAGTGTGAATTATTGCCATCCAGTCAAATACAGTATCGTCTTTTAAAAACAGAAGTGAAAAAAAAAATTTGTCTTCTTGTTAAGATTCAACTGAGCATCTTGTTTTTTGTGGGGGTTTTTTCTCGTTTATCTTAGAGATCATCTAGTCCGGTCCATAACGAACTAGGGATGCTAAGTGCCTTGCCTCGGGTCACACGTCTCATTTGCACAGAACTCTCTGTACAGGGGTTTTTCAATTGTGACGTGCTGCCTCCCACCTGGGTGTGGGGACCTAGGCACAGAGCAAGGAAGGGGACAGCAGGTATCTCACCAGCCCAGAGCAGGGACCTGTAGTGATGGGATCACCCTGGCACACGCATGCCATTGTATGGATGTTCCAAGGGGCAGGTCTTCCTGCGCCCAAGTCTTCCTGCATTCTGGAGGCTTTGCTCTTGAAAAAGGCACGTGCCCGTGTTCAGGCTGCTACCCACGTTTAGGCACAATAAAGCCGCCTCTGCTGAAAGAGCTACCGCATCACAGAAAGAGGATCTTTCTGACAAATCATGTGTAAAAATGACTCTCTCTGGGCCACCACGACCGAATTAAATGGCCGGATAAAAACGAAGTGACTTCCATAAGTGCTCACAGCTCTAAAATCCCACAATTCCATGGCAAAAATAGAGAAAGAACAGGAGGAATTCATCATATAATAAAAGGCAAAAAGGGTAGATAGGAAGTCCTCAGACTAAGTGCAATTTTTAAAAATCCAGGCATTTTAAAAAACAGCCCAAATAATTAACTGCTTAAGAAATTTCAAGAAAATGCTCTTGTAACCCCTGTGCGAGGGAAGAAACAGTTGCAACAATAAATTTTTAAACTATGAAATGAAACTCTGCATGTTAAATCTTTAAGACACAGCCAAGCTATTCCCCTCGGTAACTTAAGAAATTCTCACATGGATTACATCATGGCAATGACCCTGCTCTAAAGCAGGTGAATAACTACTTATAAATGAATACATAGGGTCGGGGGGAGGTCAAAGAAATGGGTCTAAGGCAAAATACATGCTCGTGAGTCCATAACCTGAGGTTTCAAGAGGTGGACAAAACTGGGAAATTTTGAAATCAAGAGAAGCTTTATTTTTTTACCCAATGAGTGTGTGTTCACTTTGATTTTTTTTTTTTAAAGGCTAATGATGAACTCTCCATTCAATAGTTTAATGCTAAGGTAATTATGCAAATCAAAGATGGCGTGTAACTTTTAAACTTTGCAGCTTGCTGCTCACATATTTGAAAATATGGATAAAATTATGTCCTTCAAACATACCAAAATGGATATCAAATAAACTCATCTAATTTTAGTAACTTTGTAAGAATAAAAGTCGAACCGTTTTTTTCCCGTTTGCCAATATGAAATAAGAATGTGTGCCTGTGAATGTGTGTCATGTGTTGTGTTTCTCTGTGTGTGACTGTGTCTATGTAATTGTGTTGACAGGGCTAAGTGTGACTGCCACATAGAGCGATGAAGAAAGATCTGGGTTTCATTATGCAAGAAAACATGGCTCAGTTTTTCAAAAATGAGAAAATCTGTATGTACTTACTTTCTCATGAAGGACTTCTTCAGAAGGAGCCATGATGTATAAAATGGGTGTTAGTGTTACTTGTAGGCAGCATGTCTGAAAGTGTAGTAGGGCAGATGATTTTATGTGGCATAGGAATAAACATTTTTATTTGAATAATCATGCACTTATTTTTACCGTTCCTCCCTCTCTCCCTCTCTAACACTCTGCCTCGGGATCACTGGTTTTATTCACAGTATTTATTTGGTTGCTCATGTCTGTGACCAGCGGCCCAGGCCCCAAGGTCATTCCGTGCCCCCTACTCCTCACTGGATGCTCTGCATGTCTTTTCTGATCCCATCTCCCCACCCTCCCTAACTATAGGAACCCGAGCCTGAGTCCTCTGGCAACTCACAATGAATCATCAGCCAAAACTCAATCTAGAGAAGTAAGTTTAGCTGTCTTCCCAATAAAGCAAAGCCATTCCCTGTTGACCAAGAGTTATAGTGGCAGTGAATGCTTGCTTTCTATTTCAGTTATTTCTTGCTACGGAACAAATTACCCCAAACTTAGTGGCTTAAAATGACAACCACTTTGTTTGCTTTCTAGCTTCTGTGGGTTGACAGCTCAACTGGCGGTTGGGCTGGTCTCCCTCCGTGTCTTTCAAAGGATGGTTGGAACCGGAGGCATCTGGACCCCCCACCCCCACCCCAGCAGCCAACCTCCTCCCTCTCTGCTAAGGGCCCGTGGTCTGTTTGTGGGGTGGTTTGGGGCCCAAAAAAGAGGCAGAAAATGGAAACCTCCAGGCCTTCTTAAGGCTTAGGCCCTGAGCAGGCACGCCACCACTTCTGAGGCCTTCTATTAATTAAGCAGTCCCAGAGCAAGCCCCTATTCAAGGGGCGGGGGCACAAATCCCACCTTGGGACAGTCATGGGAGGCAGGGGGCGGTGGTGACAAAGACTTTGCAGTCATCTTTAATCCACCACAATTTCTCAATCAAAGAAGTTCCTTTTAGTTTCTATGCAGAACCACCACTTGGAGGGTTTCAAAACCTGTTTACTAGTCTTTGGAGTGAACTTAAGTTCCTTGGGTATAAAAAAGGGGGGATGTGTCCCCAAAGCAGTGCAACATTGAAGTTAAGAGCTGGTTCAGATAGACAGTAAGTGATTATCAAATGATTGACACAGGAGTACATATAAATATCACTTGCCTTTCAAACAACACTCTGAAATCCAGTTTTACAATGATGAACAGCACGTTCTCTACTTTTCTAGAAAATAAAATTCAGCTTCTAAAGAGTAAAGGTGTTTCTGTCCAGAATTCTAACAGTTAAAAAACAGGTTATAATTCACAATATGTATTACTAAATTGGTTTTAAATAAGGTGGATGGGGGAGGAGTTTTTCCATCCCAAATGTATCAAAACCCAGAAAGAACAAAGTTTAAGTTAACCTAGCTTGGGAACCTTTCCGGCTTTAATTTAATTTCCTCTTCCTCTGGAAAATTTCCTAGTATTCAGACACTTTCAGGATAGCTGCCTCTATCTCAGTTCATTTCACAACCTACCTCTTCTCTCTGCTTTTTTAGTTCATCTAAATGCATACATTTGTTTAAGGTAATTAAAGTCAATCTACTGGAGGGAGCAGCGGTGTGAACAACTCAAAAATCACTTACATTCAATCTGGTGAATATATTTGCACTTATATTTTGAATGACTGTACGAAGACATTTTTCAAGTCAAATCTGGCTGTGTGGGGCCAACTGCCAGTTTTGCCCAATTGCTTCTGCAGTTACTTCCCTGTAATTCTGCTTACGCTGGAAGTAGATGCTGAGAGGTTTGCCTTCCCTCTCGCCTCTTCTGTGACTTGTCTGGAGCTGGGGGTCAATAAATGTTTGGGTTCAAAGGGCTTTTCTCTTTGCAAAGTAAATAGAAGGAATGAGACGTGAAGAGTGCAAGTAATTAAGTAGAGATAGATTGTCAGTTTACTGGAATTTGCTTTACCCGTTTGCTGGTCGTTTTCTACCCATGTCATCATTCACTGACTGCCTTTGTTATTATTGCATGTGCAAGGTGTAGCAGTGAGGTTAACAGGCTGAAAAACAGCCGAGGGGTGACTTGCAGTGATGTGGGAGTCTCACCAGCTCAGACATTTATCTATAACAGCCCTGTAGGAGTTGTTTGCATTAGAGCTTTATGAACAAAAGAAGTAAGTGATTGTGGTAATGATTGAACCGACACTTCAGAATAACAACTACGTGCATTTTACAATACCTGGTTTATGTATGACTGCAAATATATTAATTTCCAACCCCTCTTCACTCTCATATAAATCTTAGCCAGGTGTGCAACAGAGGAATTCCATCATTGAGCGGGTTCTTCCTCCCATAGATTCCAAATTCTCCTGATCCCTACATGGGAGGTCGCTCCAGGGAGGGGGCTTTCTGAGTTCCACTGAGGGTAGCTTACTTCGGGGAGGAAAATCTCCCAGACTTTGCTACTCCTGGAAAACAAACAAACAAACAAAAAAAGATGCGCGTTCCTGGCCTTCTTTTCTAATAGTTCCATGGAAACGGCTTCCTGTTTGCACCAGGCTCTGATCAGCTTTCCGCCCCCATCCATCTGAAACTGTCCAGAGGCGGAGGTGGGAGTCCTAGTTCCTCCTTTACAGAATTGGGGGCCAGGCTACATGAGGTGTTCCCCACACACACACCCCCACGCTGGAACGTGGGTGCCCGACTCTTGGGTGCACTCCCAAGCGTCCCCATCCCGGACCCACCCAGGCTCGCGAGGCCTGGAGCGCCTCCCGGGCGGGGCCGCGGGGCCGTGACGTCATCAACCTCCGCCCACCGCGCGCGCCGTTGCCGAGGTCGCCGAGGGCAGAGCGGTAACTGTTTAACTTGGTGCGGTCCTCGGCCAGCGCCTCTCCTCGGACGGCAGGGGCTCGGTAGGTAAGCGTGACAGACCCTGGAAGGAAAAAAATGACAAAACACACACACACACAGGCCAGAGAGGACCCCGCCCGAGGCCGCCCCGGGAAACGGCCCTCTGAGGGGGGAAAGTGGCCCGGAAGTGTCCAGCGACCCTGGCGGGGGGGCGGGAGACGGGGCTCAGAAAACCTGACAATGCTGAGCAGCGGTGTCAGGTCACACAGGGCAGGTGAAGAGGCACGTGGAGTGGCCTCGGTGCACCGCGAACGTCCGTCTGCGAAACAGACTTGCGATGTCGACGTGAGACGAGCCCTCACGTTGTAAGGAGGAGAGTGAGGCTGGACGTGAGCAAGGCCTGAGGCCTCCGACCTGGAAGGCAGGCACACACTGGCCAGGGCGGGCGGGGGGCGGTTGCTGTACATTCTCAGCCCTGCCCGAAACACGGCCCAAGTGTTCCACGAAACTAGGGTTTCTAGCCGGACGCCTGGGCGTCGTAGAGGAACGAGGGCCCAGAGAGAAATACTGTTGCCGTCTGTCTGGACGCCAGTGGACGCCATCTCTTCCTACGTTATGTGTACGTAGGAAATGAGACCGTGCCATCTGAAAGGGTCAGGACACGGGATTTAGGCGTTTTCAAAACGAACGCTACCTCCTTGGCGGAGGCCTGGCGCGGGAAGGCAACATGGGGGCGAGGGACGGGCGCGGGCCTGCGCGTGCGCGGGAGGGCGCCCCGTCGGCTCGGCCTACGCTGTCATTTTCTGGGGCGTTTCTGGAACCTCGTGTGTTCACGGCCAGGCGGTCGTTCACAAGCACCAGGCCCTGTGCGCAGAGCGCTGACAAAGCGATTTGGGTTTGCTTTTATAGATGTATGATGACACATTCTCCCCGTCGAGGCATCTTTCTTTCCCGCCCGCCCTTCCCACCCCCACATCAATGACCTTTATGTCTTTGTCAGATAAATACAAGGTGATAAAGAGACACTCATTTTAATTTCATTTTTTATTTTTGTACTAAGTTCTTTTGTGTGTTGTAAGAGAGAGTATTGGCATTTTAACAAGGTCATTTAAGCAGTTACCCAACATTTTGCATTGTGTTTGTTTAAATAAGAATGTCAAGACAAAATTTTTTAGAAAGGAACAATATATATCTCCAACATGTGTGTATGTATGTATATGTGGTGCGTGTATGTGTCAGCCTATATATGATAAAGTATGCAAGTAGGTTTTCTTTAACACCTTTCTACTGATATTTACGTCAGTTGTCATGATCACGCAAGAGGCATTGCCCTAAAAACGTAAAAATACAATTGCAGAATTCTCCATATGTCCAAAATTTCATGCACTATACCATAAGAAAACTCCCTTTTATTTCTATGTATTTGTAAGAGATGGACCTAATTTGATAACATGTTTTCAATAGCCTTTACATAAATTTCTGCATAGTGTGATGTCTTACTATATTTATAAGCATATTACTAGAAATTATATCTTTGGATTTTTGGTTTTTCTTTTTTTTAAGCAGTTTCAAAAACAACACTCAGCCTCTGAAAACGAGCAATAAAGTTTATTGCAAGCAAAAGTTAAGAGCCCTGAGCACCTTAGAGAAGCATTCCCTGAGGTGTGTTTTGTGGAAGGCAATGAGAAACCTAAGTGAAAGTCTATGTTTTTAAAAGCGGGGAGAGTAGGATTCCTTGTTAGAAACATTTTGGGAAGTATTCTATATTCTCCCCATTGGAAATTCACAACATCATTAACATAGTAAAAGCTCTTTTAACGTTTCTGCTCAATTGAATTTCAACAAAGGTGTCAAAGCAGTTCAGCAGGGAAAGGGTAGTCCTTTCAACAAAGGTGCTGGAACAATTGGATATCCAAATGCAAAAAGATGCATTTAAATCCTTACCTCCCATCATACTCAAAATGTAACTCCAGATGAATTGTCCGTCTAAATGTAGAAGCTGAAATTATAAACTCTTAAAAAACATAGGCGTATATCTTTGTGACCTTCATAGATACAATGGAAAAGCACCAGCAATAAAAAAAGAAATTTCATAAATTGATCTTGACCAATCTTTAACATTTTTATGCTTAAAGACACCATTAAAAAAATGAAAAGAAAAACCACAGAGGGAGAAAATATTTGCAGATCATATTTGATTAAGGTCTTGAATCCAGAATACAAGGAATTCTTGCAAGACAGTAAGAAGAAAATAACCCAATTTAAAAGTGGACAAAAATTTGAATAGATATTTGAGCAAAGAAGATATATGAATGGCCAATAAACACATGAGAAGATGCCATCAGGGATGCAAATCAAAACCACAACCCAGATACCACCGCACACCCACTAGTAGGTGAAGACTAACGGTAAGGATGTGGAGAAATTGAAACTCTTGTATGCTGCTGGTGGGAATGCAACATAGCACAATCACTTTGAAAAACTGGAAGTTTCTTAAAAAATTAAACACAAATTGACCATGTGATTCCCAACTTCAATCCTAAGTATATACCCAAGACAAATAACAATGTATGTAAGACCTGCACATGAATGCTCATAATCACAGTAGTCCCAAAGTGGAAATAACCCAAATGCCCACAAACTCATGAATGGAATTTAAAAGAAAAATGTGGTATATCTTGGAATACTGTTTGACCTAAAAAGGAATGAAGTTCTGAGAACATGCTGCAAACTGGATGAACCTCAAACACATTATGCTTTAGTGAAAAGCCAGACACATAAACAAATATTGTGAGTCCATTTATATACAGTTTCTAGAAGGGGCAAATCTGTAGACAGAAATTAGATTACCTGGGGCTAGAGATGGAAATTCAGAGTACCGGCAACTGGGACCAAGCGATGTTTTTGAGATGATGGAATGTTCTAAACTTGGATTTTAGTGATGGTTGCCCAACTGTAAATTCACCAAAAATCATTTAACTATACTTTAAAACAAGTGAATTTTGTAGCATGTACATTAGACCTCAGTAAAGCTGCTGTTTTTTGGAGAGAGTGTTCCCTGTTCAAAACAGTTTGGGAAACGTTTTATATCCCACCTCTTGGAGATTCACAACGTATATTAACATATTAAAGACCAAGAAACCCTACAGTAAAGAAACCTACTTAATCTTTTAATCCAGCATAAACCAAATTTATGTGACCACAGGAACTTTTTAAAAAATTACACCAATTAAACCCTTTCAAAGTGAGTGTTAAGGGAAGCATAATTAGGAGTTGCTGACAGTAGTTCCCTTCACTGGCTACCCAATCACTTCTCCAAGCCCTCGGGTCCAAGGAAATGGTATACATTTAACTAATCCCTGAGATTTTTTTTTTTCGCAAAAATAAATACAATTTATATAATTAGTGAGTCCATAAGCACCAGCAAGCTGAAAAGACCTCCCCACCCACCCATGACTGCCATTGTGTGGCCTGGATTTCTGCTGGCTGGGATATCAGGAGGAGCGGCTGCGATTAAACATTAATTATAATTGAAGTTGAATGTAATTAATTACATAATTTTGTGTTGTTACAGGTTAATTCCACTACTAAAATTACATCATAAAATTAGAGCATTAAGAAGGATTACTGTCAAAAGAAAAGTAGATATGAATCAAGCACCTGACTCACGTATGAATCATGTCCAAAGCACTTGGCTCGTATCTGAATCATGTAGAACAGTTGAATGACAAGTACTTGCTAGATTCTTCATAGTCATTAGTCAAATAATCGATGTAGACTGTACGTATAGAATCCTGATCATGAGAACTACCATTGGAAAAAACTGGAAGCCCCTGATGCCATGTCTGTTTCTTTCTTTTTTGTTTTTCAATGGAGGTAGAGTATTGTACAGAAGGTATGAGGAATTTGATTAGGATTGTTTATATAGAAAGGAGAAGAGGACTTTTTAAAGAATTATTAACAAGTAAGATGTATTCTGTAAACTATCCTATACTTTTTTGTCAAAGAGGAATGATTGTGGGTATGAGAAATGGATAAACAAATTGTTATACCCAGCTGGTTACTTTGCAGAGAATTCCCTATAACCATATTAACAAAGCTGCATATCACGACCATGAAATGGATTTGCTAAGAGAACAATACTTTTTAATGGCACTCTTCAGAAAAAAATTGGCTTCAAGCAAGCCACAGATAATGTTACTTGCCCTTTTTCTTTATTCCAAATAAATGCAAATAATAATGATATTGATGAACCCAAAAGACATCAGCCAGAATTTCAGCTGGGAAGTGAACATAAACTTTTGATGGAATTATTTTGGGTGCATGCAGGGTAGAAGGCAAAATGAATATTTTTCAACACCATTTTATATAAATTTTGCATTAATGTATTATTAATTGCTTATAACTAGAATACTCTTTTAAACAAACGTGTACATTGGACAGTAAAACCCAAGTCATCCAATATTAAACTTGTTTAGGCAAGAGGAGAAAACTCCCCTTGTTAAAGCAAGAGCTTTTGGATAATCTCTAAAATCTGAATTTGTGTTCCAACTACATACGTAAACTGCAGCTTAATAACATGCTTGTGACACAAGAGCAAGCCAAAAAGCCTGCAGGTATGCAACCCCAGACCACTTTGGAAACCCAAAACACCCCTTCCTCCCAACCACCCCATCCAACTGAATGTGATTTTTGTTCATAGTTTAACTTTTGTTTCTAGCAGTACTTGTCTGTCAAGTTTGTGGACCAACTACATCTGTTTTGCAAATTCCACCTCCACTTCTGACTGGCTTCCCCACACGAGTTGTAAGGTTTTTCCTCTCAAAAGCAGGCTTACCTCTGACAGTATTATGTCTTCATCTGTTCTTCATACCTCTTCATGTAGACTGAATCTTGTTTTCTCAAAAACAGCTTTGCAATTCCTGATGTGCACTTGCTGTTTTCTAAATTGAAAACCAAAGTATTATTCACTCCTGCTTATAAACAGAATGCCTTCCAATAACTCCAGGTTATGTAAAGGGTTGAGTCAGATGAAGAAGTTACAGTAGATGAAGTCAAGCAA